ACCCCCGAGACCCCCGCGGGCAGCCCAGCCCCACCCCCAGCTCAAGCCCTGCCCCTCCCGGGATGCCCGGAGCCAAAGGAGCCCCTTGGGCTCCCGCCAGCGCCCGGGGAGCCGCTCTGGCACCCCAACCCTCGGGGGGGGCCGCACTGCCCCCATCCCCCTCCGGGGGCACCTCCGGGGCACCGTGACCCCGGCACTGCCCCCCGAGCAGGGACCCGGCTGCTCGCGGCCCCCCGGAGCCGTGGGTGGGGGGCGGCTCCGGGGTGGGGAGGGGGAATCCTTGCGGGGGGCGCTGGGCTGGCCGCAGGAGGGCCCCCCCCGAGCTCCGGTGGCCCCCGGTTGTAAACAGCCGGTGCCCGTGGCCGCTGGCACGTCCGGGCTCTTATCGCCGCCGCCCCGCGGCAGCCCCGGCGCTCCGCTAATCTCCCCGCGGCACGGCGGGGCCGCGGTGGGGAGCCCCCGGGGCTGGGGGGGCTGGGGGGGCTGGGGGCACCCCACAGAGCGGGGCTGGGGGGGCCGTGTCCCCCCGGCTCGCGGTGGCCCCGGGGCCCCCGCGGGGGCCGGTGGCGGCTATCTTGGTCTGGGACACGGGCCCGGCTCCAGCGGCGCCTCCCGGTCACGTCCCGTCCCGGCACGGACTAAAAACAACCCGGGCCCGGGGCCACGCGGCTGCTGCGGGGACTCGGGGGTGCTGGCACAGCCCCCGTGTCCCCTGGCACAGCCCCCGTGTCCCCTGGCACACACCCCCCATGTCCCCTGGCACCTTATGCCCCCGGGGTGGCAGTGGCCGCCCCACGGTGGGCGCCGGGGCGGAATTGGGGACAGCAAACAGGGAATGTCGCTGGTGCTGGGGGCTGGCACCCACCCGAGCACCCCCCGTGGGACCCCCCACGGGTGCTCGGGGGCTGGGACCGCCACGGGCAGGGGCAGCCGGTGGCGTGGCCGGCGGAGGTGGCCCGGAGCCAGGTCCCGCCGGGTCCCTCCTGTCGCTGTCGCTGTCATGGGGCTCCCAGGGGCCGCGGAGTTTCCAGAGGATCTGTGGGATTCCCATGGCTGTGGGGCTCTCAGGGGCTCCTGAGGCTCCTGGGGGGTCCCAGGCTGGGGACAGTGACCTGGGGCGGGGTTTGGGGACAGCGGGTGGCAGCGGGGCAGCGCTGCCCTGCCGCTGCTGCTGCTCCCCGCAGGTCGGACGTGGTGGTGCTCTGCTTCTCGCTGGCGAACCCCAACTCGCTGCGGCACGTGAAGACCATGTGGTACCCCGAGATCAAGCACTTCTGCCCGCGCACGCCCATCGTGCTGGTGGGCTGCCAGCTGGACCTGCGCTACGCCGACCTGGACGCCGTCAACCGCGCGCGGCGCCCGCTGGCCAAGTGAGCCCCCAGGGTCACCCCCCAGGGGACAGGGACACCTCGGTGTGGCGTCGTCAGCATCACCCCGGTCCCGTTAAAACGGGGAGCCCTCCCTGAGCCGCTCTGGGGACCCCCAGTTTTGCCAGCAGCGTGTGAGGTTGGGTGTGTCATCTCCCGGCAGGACGGGGTCCCGCTGTGGGTCAGGGTCTTCTGACAGCGCTTGTGGGGTGGAACCTCTGCCCTGCTGGGCACTCCTGGCTTGGGGCCTCCCCTGCTGCTCCCCCTGGCACCCCCACAATGAGGGGCCACCCTCCCAGCGCCCCTGGCATGGCAGTGACACCTCCCAGAATCCTGGAACGAGGAGGGACCCCCCTGGCCACCCTCCTCAGCCCCCCACCCTGTCCGTGCCCCCCCAGGCCCATCAAGCCCTCGGACATCCTGCCGCCGGAGCGGGGCCACGAGGTGGCCCAGGAGCTGGGGGTGCCCTACTACGAGACCAGCGTGGTGGCCCAGTTCGGGGTCAAGGACGTCTTCGACAACGCCATCCGCGCCGCGCTCGTGTCCCGCCGCCACCTGCAGTTCTGGAAGTCCCACCTGCGCAAGATGCAGCGCCCGCTGCTGCAGGCACCCTTCCTGCCCCCCAAGCCCCCCCCGCCCCTCATCCAGGTGCCCGAAGCCCCCCCCGGCCTGGGGGGCGGCCCGGCCGCGCTGTTCCAGGCCCCGCTCTGCGCCGACGTCGTCTTCCAGCTGCAGGGCGGCCACCGCGTCTTCGCCCACCGCGTCTTCCTGGCCACCGCCTGCTCGCGCTTCTACGACCTCTTCACGCTGGAGGCGCCGCCCGAGACCCCCGCCGAGGGGGACTTGGGGACCCGTGACCTGTCGTCGTGGGGCCGCGGCTTCCTGAGCCTGCGCTGGGAGCCGGTGGCCGACCCGGTGGCGGGGCGGGAGCGGCGCATGGCGGTGGTGGCCATGGACCGGGGCGTGCGGCCGGAGCCGCTGCGCGCCGTGCTGGAATATTTGTACACCGGGAGGCTGGAGCGGCCCCACGGCGACCTGCGGCAGGTGGGCGCCGTGGCCGAGCTGCTGGAGGTGTTCGACCTGCGCATGATGGTGGCCAACGAGCTCAACCAGGAGAGCTTCATGAACCAGGAGATCACCAAGGCCTTCCACGTGCGCCGCGCCAACCGCGTCAAGGAGTGCCTGGCCAAGGGCGTCTTCGCAGGTATGGGGCGCGGGGTGGGGGCTGTGGGGACAGGAGGGTCACCGCTGTCACCTCCGGGTGGTGTTCCCTTCTCGTGGTGCCGGTGTGGTCACAGGGCTGTGGTCAAACTGAGCCCCTCCCAACACGGAGGTCTTTGGAGTCTGGGGTCCTGCCCCAGTCAGTCATGGGGGTGCTGCTGGGGTGGAGTGGCAGCTCTGGGCTGTGGTGGCCAAGGGGTGGTGTCCCCAAGGCAGCGGTGTCCCCATGGAAGGGGTGTCCAAGGGATTCTTGTCCCCAAGGCAGTGGTGTCCCCATGGAAGGGGTGGCCAAGGGATTCTTGTCCCCAAGGCAGCGGTGTCCCCATGGAAGGGGTGTCCAAGGGATTCTTGTCCCCAAGGCATGGTGTCCCCATGGAAAGGATGTCCAAGGGGTGGTTGTCCCCAAAGCAGCGGTGTCCCCATGGAAGGGGCGGCCAAGGGATTCTTGTCCCCAAGGCAGCGGTGTCCCCATGGAAGGGGTGGCCAAGGGATTCTTGTCCCCAAGGCAGCGGTGTCCCCATGGAAGGGGTGTCCAAGGGATTCTTGTCCCCTTGACAGCGGCGGTCAGCGAGTGGCTGTCCCTGCTCTGCAGTGTCCCGGGGTGGATGTCCCTGCTCTGCAGTGTCCCAGGGTGGCTGTCCCTGGGCTGAGGGGTGGGGCACTGAGGGTGGCCGTCCCGCTGAGCTGTCCCCTGTCCCCAGACGTGGTGTTCCGCGTGGATGACGGCGCGGTGCCGGCGCACAAGCCGCTGCTCATCGCCGGCTGCGACTGGATGAGGGCCATGTTCCGGGGGGGCTTCCGCGAGAGCTACGCCGGCGAGGTGGGCACCTGGGGGCACCTGGGGGGCAGCGTGGGCATCTTTGCTTGGGGTCAGGGCGCTGCTCAGACCCCCTGGCCCAGGACACGTGTGTCCTACCAACCTCTTGCAGAGGGAGCTGTGCTGGCTTGTGGGGGCTATTCCAGAGCTGGGGTTGCTGTGCCAGCTGCCAGGAGGGTCCCCCTTTCCCCCAAGCCCCTTTGGGGGTGGCTCTGATCTCCCCCAAACCCCCCGATCCCACAGGTGTCCCTGCCCGGCACCAACTGTGCCTGCCTCCGCGCCGTCCTCGACTTCCTCTACACGGGGGTCTTCACCCCCACGCCCGACCTGGACGCCATGGAGCTGCTGATCCTCACGGACCGGCTGTGCCTGCCGCGGCTGCAGGCGCTCACGGGTGAGCCCCCCCGGTGTCCCCCCGGCCCCTGACGTCACCTGCCAATACCCCGCTGGCGCCGCGGGGACGGATCGATCGTCCCCGTGTGTCATTCGCTGTCCTTGTGTGAGCGCGGGGGGGGCCCGGGGGGCGCGTCCCCGCTGTGGGACCCCCCCCGAACCCCCGCTGCCCCCTCCCCCAGAGCAATATGCCGTGGACGAGCTGCTCCGAGCCTTCATGCAGCGCGTGGAGATCGACGAGCAGGTCATCATCTACCTGGAGATGACGCAGGTACGGGGGGGCTGGAGGGCGCTGCGACCCCCGGGGGGGGGCACAGGGACTCCCAGGTGATGGGGTGACCCCCCCAAATCCCTCTGCAGTTCCACAACGCCCGGCAGCTGGCGGCCTGGTGCCTGCACTACATCTGCACCAACTACAACCGCGTGTGCCGCCGCTTCCCCCGCGAGATGAAATTCATGTCCGCAGGTACGGACGGGCTGGGCGGGGGGCACGGCGAGGGGAGGGGATCCCCCGCCGTGCCCTGAGCCCCGGGCTGTCCCCGCAGAGAACCAGGCGCACTTCGAGCGGCACCGCTGGCCGCCGGTGTGGTACCTGAAGGAGGAGGATCTGTACCTGCGCTCCAAGAAGGAGCGGGAGCGCGAGGAGCAGCTGCAGCGCAAGCAGCACCCCCGCAGCAAGTGGTGCTTCTGGAGACCCTCACCCCCCGTGTCCTGAGCGCGGGGGGCGAGGGGAGGGGACCCCCGAGTGGGGCTGGGGGCTAGGGAGGGCTGGGAGCCCCTGTGCTGAGTAAGGGGGTTCGGCCCCGGGGTCCCCGTGGAGGGTGAGGGGGCTCAGCTGGGCTGGGGGTCCCTGTGGTGAGTGGGGGGCTCGGGGCTGGGGGGGCTTTGTTGGGCTGGGGGTCCCTGTGTTGGGATGGGGGCTCAGGCCCTGGGACCCCCACACTTGACTTGGGGAGCTCAGCTGGGCTGGGGGTCCCTGTGCTGGGCTAGGGGTCTCTATGCTGGGCTGGGGGCTCAGGTCCCGGGACCCCCACACTTGACTTGGGGAGCTCAGCTGGGCTGGGGGTCCCTGTGTGGAGTGAAGGGCTTGAGCCTGGGGCTTTTATAAAGGGCTGGGGGGCTCAGCTGGGCTGGGGGTCCCCGTGTTGGGTGGGGGCTTGGGCCCAGGGCTCCCATGCAGGGCTGGGGGTCGCTGTGCTGGGCTGAGGGGCTCAGGACCCCCACCCTCGGCTCCAGGGATCCCACACTGAACAAGGGCTTGGCCCCAGGACCCCCACCCTGAGCTGTGGCTCTCAGCCCTGGGACCCCCCCCACCACTGAGCCAGGGGCTTGGCCGGGGCGGGGGTCCCCCAAGGGCTTGTTTACCCCCCTCCCCCGGCTGTTTACAGGCTCTGCCGGGTGGCAGCCCCCGCTCCCACCGTGCCTTCCCCGGCAGGGGGGCCGTGCTGAGCCCCCTCCCCCGGCAGGGCCCCCCGCCCCGGCCAGCGCTGGTGCTACCTCTGACCGAGCAGTATTTGGGGCTGGGGGCGAGCGGGGGCTCTGCCGCTCCCCCTGTCTCTTCTGGGGGTCCCCACCCCCGTAGGGCTCTCTCTGGTGCTGTATTTTCTCCCCCCCGTGGGGCGGGGGGGGCCAAGCTGTGAGCAGGGCGGGGTGGGTGGGCGCGGGGAGGGGTCCCCGGGTGCTTGTGTGGCTGCCAGAGCCCCCGGCTCATCTCTGTGCCTTGGAGGGGCCCCCGGCCCCGGCTGTGTCCGGGGGGATCATTGTCCCCGTCCGGGGCCGTGGCATGTCGCTGTCCCCGGGGGGGATCATTGTGCCCGTCCCCGGGCTGTGTCCCCTCCCCGGGGTGAGGGGGGGGAGCACCGTCCCCGCCCCCGGGCTGAACTGCACAACCGTTTTTACACTTTTTTACCCCAGGAGCACAGCGGCCCCCTCCCCGGCCTCGGGGCCCCCCCCGGCCCGGAGCGGGGCTCCCCCCACCTCAGCAGCGGCTGTTTTAACCTTTAATAAAGCTTTTTGTAACTGAGCCGGACCCTGCTGGGCCCCCCAACCCTGCTGGGCCCCCCAACACCCCAGACCCCTCTTCAGGAAGGAGTGACACGGGGGGGCTTCCCTGCGGTGTATTTATTGGGGTGGGGGGGTTCAGAGCACGTGGGGGTGGGAGCAGAACTGGGGGGACCTGACCCACACACTGGGGGGACACGAGTGGGACATACAGGGTGGGTGGGGGAGGTCTCCCGAGGGGTGTGGGGGGGTTCCTAGGGCCTGTCCCTGGCTGAGCCCCCCCAGCTCCAGGCTGGGCCCCCCATTCCCCCCTCCCGGCCTCGCAGGGCCCTGGGAGCAGAGCCTGGGGTCACCTCAGCTCCCGGGGGGGGTCAGGGACAGTCAGGGCGGCTGCAGGGGACCTGGGGACGTCCCTGGGGTGTCACTGCAGCTGCTGCTGCTGTTTCCAGCCCCGGGGCACAGCTGGGGCCTCGAACATCTGGCCAGTGGCCATGGGACTGCAGCATCCCGTGGGGATTCGGGATCCCGGGGGGTCGGGATGCAGGATCCCCCAGGTGCCCCTGGCCTCCTTCCCTCCCCAGCAGCCGTGGCTGGCAGATGCTGCTCGCTGGGACGCTGGGCTGGGCTCTCCGGGCCGGTAGCACAGGTTCCCCGGGATCCTCCCGTCTGAGCCGGCTCCGCTCCCAGCCACGCCACCCTCCGGGAAGGGCGGGAGCCACGGGAGGAGCCCGGAGCCGGCGGGAGCCACGGGAGGAGCCCGGAGCCGGCGGGAGCCACGGGAGCATCCCCGCGGGGCTGCAGCAGCCGGAGCAGCTCCCGGCCCTCGGGAGGGCTCGGGGCAGGGGGGATCCCGGCCGGAGCTGCCGGGGGGGCTGTGCTCACCCCCGTCCCCCGGGGGTCCCGGCACTCCCGTTCTTGCCGCAGTCCGGGCTCAGGCGGGGCCGTAGCACAGGATCTCGCTCAGGTCGTAGCCGGTGACAGCGAAGGTGTCCCCGGCGGGGTCGCAGAAGCGGGCGCCGCACACCTGAGTGTCCGTCACACACTCGGCGTGGCAGTGCTGCACCTGCGGGGGGATCCAGACGGAATCCCAGGAATTCACAGCTCCAGGGGCCACATCCCTGTCCCCTGTCCCCGTGGCTCCACGTGCCAAGCCCGGACTGACCTCGATGTCATCGGTGTCCGGGTTCCTGCTGAGCTTCCAGACGTGCACAAAGGAATCCTCGGCACCCGAGAGCAGCTGCCAGGGGAGCAGGGAGCGTGGGGACACCGCGGAGCTGGCAGTGCCACCGGCAGGGGGACACCGGGGGATGGGGGTGGGATGCCAGGGAGGAATGCCAAGCGGGATGCCAGGCTGGGATTTCAGGTTGGGATTTCTGGATGGAATGCCAGTTTGGGATTTCAGATTGGGATTTCAGGTTGGAAGGCCAGGCTGGGATTTCAGGTTGGGATTTCAGGTTGGAAGGCCAGGTGGGATGTTGGGGTAGGATGCCAAGTTGGGATTTCAGGATGGAGTTCAAGGTGGGATACCAGGTGGGATTTCAGGTTGGGATGCCAGGTTGGAATGCCAGGTGGATATCAGGGTGGGATGTGGGGTGGGATGTCAGGGTGTGATGCCAGGCTGGGATTTCAGGTTGGGATTTCTGGATGGAATGCTAGGTTGGGATGTCAGGTTGGAATGCCAGGCTGGTATTTCAGGCTGGGATTTCAGGTTGGGATTTCTGGATGGAATGCCAGGTTGGGATTTCAGGTTGGAATATCAGGCTGGGATTTCAGGTTAGAAGGCCAGGCAGAATGTTAGGGTGTGATGCCAGGTTGGGATTTCACATTGGAATGCCAGGTGGGATGTCAGGTTGGAATGCCAGGTGGATGTCGGGATGGGATGCAGGTTGGGTATTGGTCAGGATGCCTGAGCGTGACCCGAGGTGTGACTCCAGCTGTGACCCCGTCCCCTGCGCACCTTGCCGCTGAGCGGGGCCAGGTCCAGCGCGTAGATCCAGCGGGCGTGGGCGCTGACCTGGGCGCGGATCCGCCCCGACCCCGCCTCCCACAGGCGGATCTGCCCGTTCCCATAGCCCGCCGCCACCGTCCCGTTCCACAGCGCCACCGAGGAGCAGGAGCAGCTGGGCGCGGGGACACGTGTCACCCCCGCGGGGCTGTCCCTCCCGCGTGCCCCACGCCCTGCGGGATGCCCGGGGCTCACCCAGATCCCGGGATCTTCCCCAGCAGGGTGAACTCCTCCCCGCTGCTCCAGAGGCACAGCGTCCCGGAGTCATCGGCTGTCACCAGGTCGCCAGCCCCGTCCTGCGGGGAGAGAGGGCTCAGGGACAGCGGGCAGCGTCCCCAGCTCTGCGGTGGCACTGCCCCACGGGCACCAGGACAGGCTGGAACAGCTCCTGAAGCGCTGACGGGTCCCGTTGGAACTCGTCCGTCCCTGCCCACGCTGCCACGCCAGGCTGGATTTCGAGGAAGGATCAGGGCACCCCTCCCTCCCTCCCTGAGGATTCCCGGCTCCTCCCGGCCCTGGGAAGGCCCCAGTGCAGCCCTGGGAGCAAAGCCCAGGGCGCTGTGTGAGTGGGAGGTGACACGAGAGCCCCGTGTCCCCAGGGTGACACGGCAGCTCGGGAATGGCGTCTGGGGGATGAATTCCTTGGGGATCCCAGAGCGAGGAAAGCTCCGTGACTCAGCAGGGAAAGTGCTGAGTGGGAGGAAAGCGGCTGCTGAGTCTGCAGGGACCTGCCCTGTGAGCTTCCCGTGCCTGAGGAGGTTCCAGGAGAGACGGGAGGAATGTGGCACAAAGGATGGCGTGACAGGACACAGGGAATGGCTTCCCACCAGAGAAGGGGAGATTTGGGTGGGATTTTGGGAAGGAATCCTTCCCGGTGAGGGTGGGGAGGCCCAGAGCAGGCTGTGGCTGCCCCTGGATCCCTGGAAGTGTCCAAGGCCAGGCTGGAGCCACCTGGGACAGTGTCCCTGCCATGGCAGGGGGTGGCACTGATGAGATGTGGGGTCCCCTGTCCCCCGTACCGGGGCCTGGCCCTGCTCGGCCGCGATGTCGGTGACGGGATCCCGGTGCTGCTCCAGGACCTCGCTCAGCGTCACGTTGGTGCCTTTTGGGGGGATGTCAAACACCAGCACGGCCCCAAAGGACGTCCCTGCGGGGTCAGGGGGGTCAGCAGGGCCGGGCCAGCCCGGGGCCACCCCCTGCCCACGGCCCGGGCTCACCCACGCAGACGAAGCGGCCGCCGGCCGCGGCGATGCCTCGGGCGAACACGGAATGTGCTGGAAGGGAACAGGTCTGTGTCACCTGGGATGAGAACTGGGGATGGGAACAGGTCTGTGTCACCTGGGATGGGAACTGGGGACAGGTCTGTGTCACCTGGGATGGGAACTGGGGACAGGTCTGTGTCACCTGGGATGGGAACTGGGGACAGGCTTGTGTCACCCTGGGACAGGAATTGGGGACAGGTTTGTGTCACCCTGGGACAGGAATTGGGAGAGGGAACAGGTTTGTGTCACCCTGGGACAGGAATTGGGGACAGGTTTGTGTCACCCTGGGACAGGAGCTGGGGACAGGTTTGTGTCACCCTGGGACAGGAGCTGGGGACAGCTTTGTGTCACCCTGGGACAGGAGCTGGGGACAGGTCTGTGTCACCCTGGGACAGGAGCTGGGGACAGGTTTGTGTCACCCTGGGATGGGAACTGGGGTCACAGCCCAGGCCTGGCCAGGTCTGGCCTGTCACAAGCAGACATTGGGGTGCTGCTGTGCAGGGGAAGGGGCTCAGCCTGGAGAAAAGGGGGTCAGGGGGTCTGGGAAATGGATTTGTAGAAAAGTTTTAAAGTTTGACACAAGGGCTGGACAAATGGGGACCTTGTGGTCCTGACAGGAGGGGACAGCCAGGGAACAGGGACAGGGTGACAGGGACAGCCCCAAGCTGTGCCAGGAGAGGTTCAGCTTGGATATGAACAAAATTCCTTCCTGGGAAGGGCTGGAATTGCCTCCCTGGCAGGGTGCAGCCCCCAGCCCTGTGCTTGTGGCACTTGGGGACAGTGCCGGGGTGGCCTGGCAGGGCTCTGAGGGCCTCACCTGGTGGCAGCTCCGGGACGTCCAGGGCGTGCCAGAACACCATGGTGGAGCCATCAGCCTCGTGCATCTGCCACCAGGGACAGGCTGGGACACTCTGGGGGGGACAGGGGACCCCCGGAGCCCCCCAGAGCCCCCCGTGCCCCCCGGCCTCACCTGCACCCCGCGCTGGGACGTGAGCACCAGCAGCACCCGGGATGGCAGCTGGCACCACGCGGCCTGCGGGGACACGGGGACACTGAGGGACCCCCAAACCTCCGGGGGGTCCTGCCCTGGGGAGCCCCAAACCCCTCCTGAAGGATCTCAAATCCTCCTCCGGGAGAAGCCCAAACTTCTGCTGGAACAGGAGCCCCCAAATTCCCTCCTGGAGCCCCAAAATTTCCTCCTGGAGCCCCAAACCCCTCCCAGAGCCCCCAAATCTCCCTTTGGAGCCCCCCAAATCCCTTCTCCTGGAACAGGAGCCCCCAAATCTCCTCCTGGAGCCCCCCCCAAACTCCTACCCCTCCCCTCCTGGAGCACCCAGCCCCTCCCTCAGGTGTGTTTGATGTCCCCCCAGGTCAGTCCCCGCCAGCCTCAAGGACCCCCCAGCTTCCCCCAGCCCCCTCGGGGGGCTCCCTTCCCCTCCCCACACCCCGGGCCCCGCAGGATCCTGAACCCCCCGCCCCCTGCCCGGTGCCAGGGCGGTGCCAGGGCCGCGTTCCGCCCCCCGCCCGCCGCCAGCCCGGGCTGTGCCCGCCTCACCTGGGTCAGCAGGGGCGTGCTGAGGGCAGAGCCCCCTCCCCGCGCCTGCAGCTGCCGGGCGGGCCCCTCGCCGGCCAGCAGGCTGAGGCTGCTGCCGTGCACGGCTCCGAGCGCCGGGGCGCGCCCGGGGCCGCGCAGCACCGCCAGGTTGTTGTAGAGCGCCGAGCTGCTGCCCCGCAGCGCCAGGCTGCGCTCCCGCCGGTACGGCCTGCGGGCACGGCCGGGGCTGCCCCCCTCCCAGCGCCCCCCTCACAACCCCCGGCCCAAGCTCTGCTGCCAGGGACCCCAGCCCAGCCCCATCTCACGGACCCCCGCCCTCGCCGAGGCCCCTTCCCCCTCAATCCCCCTCAGTTCCCCCGGTTTCCCCTCAGTTCCCCCCGGTTTTTCCCCGTCCCGCTCACCCGGTGCTCGCCGCCGCCATGGAGACGCGTCGCGGCGTGATGACGCAACGGCGGGCGGCGCCCGGTGATGACGTCACGTTGCCGTGGAGGCCGGGACGCCGAGGGGGCGGGATGGCCGAGGTGGGACTGGGAGAACTGGGAGGGACTGGGAGGGACCGGGAGGCGGTGAAACGGGGCAGAGGGGGCGGGGGTTGGCTGGGGGGAGCTGGGTTCCCCCGGTTTCCCCTCAGTTCCCCCCGGTTTTTCCCCGTCCCGCTCACCCGGTGCTCGCCGCCGCCATGGAGACGCGTCGCGGCGTGATGACGCAAAGGCGGGCGGCGCCCGGTGATGACGTCACGTTGCCGTGGAGGCCGGGACGCCGAGGGGGCGGGATGGCCGAGGTGGGACTGGGAGAACTGGGGGGGACTGGGGGGGCCCGGGAGGCGGTGAAACGGGGCAGAGGGGGCGGGGGTTGGCTGGGGGGAGCTGCGGGGTGTGGGGAGTTGGGGTGTGCTGGGGTGTACTGGGGTATACTGGGGTGTACTGGGATGTACTGGGATGAGCTGGGGGACCGTGCTGAGGTGGGCTGGGAGGCACTGGGCTATGCTGGGATGTACTGGGCTGTACTGGGGAGCCATACTGGGATGTACTGGGATGTACCAGGCTATACTGGGATGAGCTGGGGGACCGTGCTGAGGTGGGCTGGGAGGCACTGGGCTATACTGGGATATACTGGGATGTACCAGGCTATACTGGGATGAGCTGGGGGGCCATGCTGAGGTGGGCTGGGAGGTGTTGAGCTATACTGGGATGTATCAGGGGGCCGTGCTGGGGTGGGCTGGGCTATACTGGGGTGTACTGAGATGCACTGGGCTGAGCTGGGGGCACATGCTGGGCTATACTGGCATGTACTGGGCTATACTGGGGAGCCATGCTGAGGTGGGCTGGGAGGTACTGGGCTATACTGGGATGAGCTGGGATGTACTGGTCCGTATTGGGCTACACTGGAATGAGCTGAGGGGCCACACTGGGCCACGTGGCAGTGTACTGGTCCGTACTGGTGCGCATTGGGATGAGCTGGGGGCCCATGCTGGGCTGCACGGCAGTGTACTGGTCCATACTGGTCCATACTGGGATGCACTGGGATGAGCTGAGGGCCCACGCTGGGCTGCATGGCAGTGTACTGATCCACACTGGTCCATACTGGGATGCACTGGGATGAGCTGGGGGCCAGGCTGGGCTGCAACCATGCTGGGGTGGGCTGGGAGGTATTGAGCTATACTGGGATGTACTGGGGGGCCGTGCTGGGGTGGGCTGGGCTATACTGGGCTGTACTGGGATGTACTGAGCTGTACTGAGCTGTACTGGGGAACCATGCTGAGGTGGGCTGGGATGTATTGGGCTATAATGGGATGAGCTGGGATGTACTGGTCCATACTGGGATGCACTGTGATGAGCTGGGAGGTACTGGTGTGCACTGGGATGAGCTGGGGGCCCACGCTGGGCTGCACGGCAGTGTACTGATCCATACTGGTCCATACTGGGATGCACTGGGATGAGCTGGGAAGTACTGGGCTATACTGGTCCGTACTGGGGCGCACGGGGCGGCGCCGCGGCTGCCCGTGTCCCGGCAGAGAGCGAAGCCGCACGGCTCGGGCAGCAGGCCGAGGCAGGACAAGCCGCGCACGCCGGGCCGGGCCGAGCCGCGCCATGCCAAGAAGGGCTCGGCCAGGAGCCCCGGGCGGGCCGAGCCCGCGGCCGAGCCCCCGGAGCCGCTGGACGTGCGGCCCCTCCTGGACGAGCTCCTGGAGCGCGCCCTGACCCAGAGCGCGCTGGCGGCCGTGGCCCGGCAGGTGAGACCCGAGCCCGGGTTCGGGGGGGTTCGGGGTGCGGGCGGGTCTCACGCCGTGCCCGCAGCGGGTGCCCTTCGCGGTGGCGCGGGCGCGGGAGGCCATGCTGTTCGTGGCGGAGTGGCGCTTCCTGGTGAGGGACAACGAGGACCCGCGCCCCGAGGGGGACCCGGACCCCGAGCGGGATGGAGTCTGGAAGGAGGACGAGGAGCCCCCACCGCAGCTCTGGGACTCGTGGACACCGGGCGTTGTCGCCGCCGTCTCTCTGCCCTCGGAAGAGGTGAGAGGGTCCCCCGAACCCCCGAGCCCCGCGGGACCCGCGGTGTCACCCACCCTCTGTCCCCGGGCAGGTGCTGTCCGAGGAGCTCTCCGCGACAGCCGAAGTTCCGCCCGTGGGTCCCGGCGATGTCCCAAGCTATACTGGGAGGTAGGGGGGGGCCGTGCTGGGGTGGGCTGGGCTATACTGGGCTGTACTGGGATGTACTGAGCTGTACTGAGCTGTACTGGGGAACCATGCTGAGGTGGGCTGGGATGTATTGGGCTATAATGGGATGAGCTGGGATGTACTGGTCCATACTGGGATGCACTGGGATGAGCTGGGGGCCAGGCTGGGCTGCACGGCGGTGTACTGGTCCGTACTGGTCCGTACTGGGATGAGCTGGGAAGTACTGGGCTATACTGGTCCGTACTGGTACTGGTGTGCACTGGGATGAGCTGGGGGCCCACGCTGGGCTGCACGGCAGTGTACTGATCCATACTGGTCCATACTGGGATGCACTGGGATGAGCTGGGAAGTACTGGGCTATACTGGTCCGTACTGGGGCGCACGGGGCGGCGCCGCGGCTGCCCGTGTCCCGGCAGAGAGCGAAGCCGCACGGCTCGGGCAGCAGGCCGAGGCAGGACAAGCCGCGCACGCCGGGCCGGGCCGAGCCGCGCCATGCCAAGAAGGGCTCGGCCAGGAGCCCCGGGCGGGCCGAGCCCGCGGCCGAGCCCCCGGAGCCGCTGGACGTGCGGCCCCTCCTGGACGAGCTCCTGGAGCGCGCCCTGACCCAGAGCGCGCTGGCGGCCGTGGCCCGGCAGGTGAGACCCGAGCCCGGGTTCGGGGGGGTTCGGGGTGCGGGCGGGTCTCACGCCGTGCCCGCAGCGGGTGCCCTTCGCGGTGGCGCGGGCGCGGGAGGCCATGCTGTTCGTGGCGGAGTGGCGCTTCCTGGTGAGGGACAACGAGGACCCGCGCCCCGAGGGGGACCCGGACCCCGAGCGGGATGGAGTCTGGAAGGAGGACGAGGAGCCCCCACCGCAGCTCTGGGACTCGTGGACACCGGGCGTTGTCGCCGCCGTCTCTCTGCCCTCGGAAGAGGTGAGAGGGTCCCCCGAACCCCCGAGCCCCGCGGGACCCGCGGTGTCACCCACCCTCTGTCCCCGGGCAGGTGCTGTCCGAGGAGCTCTCCGCGACAGCCGAAGTTCCGCCCGTGGGTCCCGGCGATGTCCCCGGCGCCGCTGCCGCCCGGGATGTCGCCGTGTCCCCCGGGCGGGCCGCGCCCGGCGATGTCCCCGCGGCAGCCGTGGCTGAAGGTCCCCGCGGCCAGGACACCGCCCCGCGTGTCGCTGTGCCCCCGGGCCAGGTGAGCCGCGCCCCGATCGCCCCTCCCCGAGACCCCTCGGGCTGAGCCCCAGCCCGGTGCCGCCCCGCGGGGACCCCGCACCGACACCGGCCCCGCTCCGCCAGCCCCGCGCCGCCGCCGCTGCCCCCGCGAACACGGAA